AATTCCAATACACTTTACAAGGTAAGTAGGCCTTGTTTTTTCCATGTCATATTCAAATTTACAACACTTATCTTAGTTAGTGTTGATGTTTGCAAGTGGAAAGTTTTGTGCTGTGGATGTTCCTGGATTTGTGTAATAGAAAAAAATATATATAATATAATATTAGTAATATAAAGTGCAACATTTTTATATATAAAATGTATATCGCTTATAGAAAAAATATTAATAAGGGAAGTGGGTGTGTTGTTTACTATAATTTAGTGAATGAAATAAAATTCGTCATTCTGCACGGAAATGTACGGATATCCGCCATTTTAGTAATGCATGCAAAAAAAAAAAGTGTCAACTCCAAAATCTGTATGTGAAGACTTGTGTAAAACAAATTGGAAATACAAGTTGCGGATTATTTGCGTTGCTTATGTATTGCAGGTGCCTATCAGATCTAAATTATAATCTAAATTTACAAAATTCGTTTTCTACTTAGTTTTATTCCTTTATTTCGGATATTTGTTTGTATTTCTAAAAATATGTAAAGTCCACATATTGTTTGCATGTCCGGTTCCAACTGATTTATCTATGATTATTACCGGATGTGGTAATACATATATCAATATTGCTAATTTGGCGAATATTTTCAGTACCTGCAACAACAATAACAAAACATTGATTAAAATTGAATAATTGAAAAAGTTATTTCGTATTATGCAAGAAGAATATCTCTATTCATACATACATATAAGTATGTACATATACATATACATAGTATCTCGCTAAATGCACTGAGAATTTTCGCTTTGAAGCTACTTGATATGTAGGGAGATTATGAATTTATGTTAATTCAAGAATTTCAAAAAACAAATTTCTTTTTAGCGTTTTATGAAAAAAATTTTAAAATTTAATAATGCATATATCAATTTATGCAACAGGTAGGCAAATGCGACTATGAATGTAAATTGGTATTAAAAGATTTGACCTAATTTTTTTGACCTAATTTTCCTTGTAGCACTTGTTCGTATAATTGTTTATAGACATGTGGAAAGTTAAGCATAAAGAGCTTCGGTAAATTGAAAAGTGCTACCATATGTAAAATAACATATTGGTGGACCTATTGGATGGTAATTGGTATATTTGTATATATATTAATTTTGTTCATTCTTGATGAGCCCAGCAATCTCTTAATACATACAAACAGTGAAGAAGAGAGGATGGGTGATCGAGGACAACTCCCCCTGGGCCAGGAGTTCTCAGGGGAGTCCGGTGCTCTGCAACAATTTGTTGCTGATTTTTTCAACAACAATTTTTTACATTCATCTCCGGGCCCAGCTTTTCTCTCAGCAGCACTGCATGCAAACACATACATATATAAGATCTATGTATGAAAATATGAATAAAAAACTGCTGCAAGGGCTCATGCATGATATGTAAATGTGCATGTATGTAGATATGTAGTGTTGTTAATAATCAATTAAATTGACCCTTCCTTTTGGTCTTTCCGAACACCACAAATCATTTTACATAGCGGAAAAGCTTGCGCGCACAATTAGTTCATAAAAGTGTGTCCACATCTACATATATGCATGTAGGTACGCATGCTTGCGCATTGATTATGACGATTCAATCAATCGCCCTATCCATTGCGTACCAATGGACAAAATTAGAAAATGCACGCGACGCATTTCCTGGTGCGAATGCCTAAATGGCTTCCTAGTCTGCTGATGGTCTTACTTGCGCACACATATGGTATGATGGTATGTATGTATGTGTGTATTATATTATATATCAATTGGTCAACGCGTTGATTAGAATGCTAACGGCAATTGCTGCCATGTACGCGCGCCAGTATTGGTACAGGCAAATTGTTTTTTTCGGTTATTCTAAGAAATTCATGGCAATGCAATGCAATGCACTTAGAACGTGACTTAAACGCATACAAGTTCTTAAGCAATAAGTATAGAATCAAATCAATATGCAATAGAGCGTATTGGGTCGGCAGCATTTTATTAATTTTATTATTGCCTGCATATTTTTCTTCTATTACTTATGCATAAGGCAAGCAATTTTTGATAGTGACCGCTTGCGGATGCATGCACCATTTGAACTAAATAAAGTTTATAGGAAATTTATATTTTCAAAGTGGTTAACGACGAAATTTTTGAAATATTAGACTTTTATGAATTGAATGGCACCATAAATTCTTACAATGTTTCTACATACATATGAGTATAAAAATATGTATACATATAATGTATATACTATGTATGTATATGTGTATATACATATTTATATATTATATTATTTTTATGACTTTGCGTGCGTTAGCAGGGACATTGACTTGCTATTTGTAATATTTCAAGAAAAAGGAAATAATTTCTTCAGTAAAGATTCTTTTTCAGATTTTTGTTTAGTAAAAAAAAATATTTCTTTTTTAATAATTTTAAAATAACCTTAAAGTAAATAAGTATAAATACTTGAATATAGTATAATTGTAAAATAAAATGGTCTAAGTTACAAAAAAAAAAAAGTCTCTAATAGAAACATTCATCATCCCAATAGTTAGGGGGCACACCTAGACAGCTATTTTTAAGAATTATCAAAAAACTAATGTAGCAATTGTTTTAAAATAAATTGTATGGTGTACTGCATGCTGTATTTAGAACATGCAGAAAAAAATTTATAGTGTTTGGAACAGTTGTCCTCGAGTAAACACTCAAGTGAAATTGAAAAATGTAGTTTTGAGAAAAAGGCGTTTAAAGATAAACCGATGCAACTGATTGAAGTTGAACGCTTACTTTTAGAAGGATGTAACACTAAAACTATTTCCAATATACATACATATATGTATATATAGATAGGCTTAAAGTTTTAGTATGTTATTTGTAAAGTTCGAAATATTAAAAAACCGATCTTTTTAAAATTTCACATTAGGTGTGCTCCTTATTATCCAATAACCTTCGTTTATAAAAATTCTGGTAAATTTTCTAGTGTTCGTGTTGTTGTTGAGTAAATATAAAATATTTCGGAAAAATTCGGGAAGCAGTCTAAGCTGGGTTAGGAAGACACGTGGAGTGAAGGAGAAAAGAATTTGTGGTGGTCTACACTTCAGTGAATTTTTTGTTATTGTATATTTTTGGCTGTCGAGGCAGTGATCCTTTTTCTTAAATTACCAACAGAATCGAATTAAAAAGATCAGTTTTATTCATTTAACTACATTTCAACACACATATATATATATATATATAAACATATATACTCAGTGGTAAAATTTTAATTTCACAACACAAATTTTGTTTTGCCGGAAATGTATGTGTATATATATATATACCAAATATATTTTGTTTCCATTAGATTTAATCGAATTTCATTCGGTCGCCTAAACAAAATTTGATTTGCAAACATTTTGCCTCCATTTGAATTAATTCGCAACGATGCAAATTTGAAATGAACTAGTTATTTTTTCCGTGAAAAAATTTATGCAGAAATCGAAACCCATTTACATTTTACTTACATTGTCCTTTTATACTGTAAGATTCAAACCAAAAAAAAAATAAAATAAACACCAAGAAGCTGTACAGTGTTGAAACAACAAATGGAACCTTAACATATTTATAAAAATTGAAGGTGAAATTGATTTTGACAGTTTTCGTCGAATCAGGAAGATTACTTCCAAAATCGTACGATGAAAATTCGGGATCATTGTTACGTCTTTCACATCTAGAGCAATATAAAAAACTTTCTTTTAGGAGCAAATTTTTTCTCTTGGGAAAATTCGAATTTTTGTCTTGAAAAAGTTTTTAATTTGTTATCTCTTATTAAAACAAAATGTGTGAGTGTATTTTTCGTTCGTTTTTTTTTTTTTTGGAAACGAAATCTGTCTGACGTTCATAAAAATACGGTAGTTCTGTAAGCTAGTTGTGGTAGATAGTTCGTTAATTTTAGTCCTTAGATCAACAGGCAACATATGGTATAAAATTATTATTTTTATTGTTGCTAACGTGGCCCTTCGGTTCGCGCCAAATTACCCGTAGAAGAAATGTTGCGAAAAACCTTAAAAAACATAATAATAATTAAAATGAACTTTTCATAAGTTTGGTATGTTGAATGTCAACTGTAAGTATATGTATAGTGTATAAGATATGCACACATTTTCGTAAATTTCGACCGACGGCACACCAATTTACAATTACATACATATATAATTCTGTATTTTCGGATTTGCCGTTTTGCTGCTTTTAAGTGTTCAGCACACACCTACAGACATACATTTTGGTTTTAGTGCACGATAATTATGCGCAAAGAACTGTGGCGGATTCAAATATAAACGCGATTTACAATTCGCAATTGAATTTTCATATTGTGGCACTTAAATTTTATAAATATACAAGAACACATATATGTAAATATACACACATATATATAATATATCATTTAATGCCGTACATGTGGCACAACTTTCAAAATAGCGCCAATAGAATGTAAAAATGAATCGAGTTATATACATACATATATACGTTGAGAGGGTGACAAAATCGGTACATTGCAAAAAGAAATAATGTTTTAAAGTAGTTTCGAGTAATATTTTTAGAAGTTTCTGTGAAGATCATTTGACGTAGATCCAAAATGGATTAATACGTGGGTTTTGCATTTTTTTGGGCCAGTTAGAGTTAGTGTGTGGTGTGTTCAATATAAAAAATTTGCTGATGACAAATACTAGACATCAGTACTAAAATATTAAATAAAAAAATAATTCGATGTGAAACCAAAAACAAAAAAAAATTAAATCAGTTCGTTGAACTTTTTAGATAGTATTAGTGTTGGCAGAGAAATTAAACGTGTTTCCAAATATTTAGTGTGCTTTAATGTGTAAGTAGAATGTTTTAATTTAACATTTAGACCATTCGTTCGCAATAGAGACCACTAAATCTCTTGATTCCGTAGCCGATCTGCAGAAAGATCACCAAAAAATTATGCCTGGCGGTGTTTAAGATTTATCTGCTTGAAATTATCTCAAATCCAAAAAACCTAAAAAAATTAATTGCTACTACAAGTATATATGAATACAAAGATAATCGGAGAACTAGGCAAAATTTTGATTTTTGACCACATGTCGGCTTTCAAAAAAAAGTCGTTTTTTGTGAAAAAGTTTACACTCCAAAATAAAGCTCTAAAAAATTTAAATTATTATTAAAAATCTTATTTTGGCAATTGTCGTCGTCAATGGTGGTGAGAAAATTTCATGTCGATAGGTTAAGCCCATTTCGTAGAAATTTTCTTCATCGAATCTGTAGCAGCGTTTCGAGAAAACTGCGTTAAGAGCTTGTTACTCGATTACACTAAATATAATAATTCTTATAAATACACTCAAATTCTTTTCAGGAACGCGTAACTTGGATAGCTCTAAATTTTTGATTTTTATTTATTTCAATTTAAAAATGTACTGAATTTGTTGCCCGCTAAAACAGCCGACTCATGACATATATATGTAAATAAACAATATTTGTAACGCGTTACGTAACGCAAAATATCATGTGGAAATCGACATTCATAATTTATTTATGAATTACTTTAACTCCAATAAGTCAAGTTCAATGGTAAAGCTGTAATGCAATAACAACGAAAAACACTATTGTGCTTGTCTATGCAA